TGCACACATGTGGTGCACATACACTCATGCAGGCATATACACATTAACAACAACAAATAAATAAATCCCCTTGAAAAGTACACTAACAATTCATGTTAGCACATGCTCAAATGAAATGTGTAGGTACAAGTATGTGTATATGTCTTGTGGTTTAAAATAGAAATTTCTCCTTGTAGTCTCATGTCTTTGAACACTTGGGTCCCCAGCTAGTAGAAGACAGTTGGACAGGAGGTCACTTCACTTCAGGAAGGGCCATCCCTGGGTTGGGCCTTGACGTTATATAGCCTGACCTTGTTTCCTGTCCATTTTCTGTTTCCTGACTAGAGGCAATGTGGCCAACCATATGTGTGTGTCAATCTTAAAGTCATGCTTCCCCACCACTGTGGTGTAAGCTGAAAGAAACACACATCCTCTCCTAAATTGTTGCTTGTCAGGAACTTGGTCAGAACGATGAGAAAAGAAGCCACTATAGGTATGTTAGAGGAAAACAAGGCAATATTGCAAAGGATAGTCAGTGAAGGATTCATGCAAATTGCACATCCTTAAAATTCAACACAACAGCCAGCAAATAAAAATCAGTTTAAAGAGTGAGCCAAAGTTCTTAAAATAAGCATCACCACAGATGTGTTAATGGCTAATAGGTGTGTAGTAAGTGTCGCCCATCAGTAAAGAATTGAAATTCAAACAAAAATGAGATTCCTGTAGTCCACAGTATGGCCAGAATCTCATACTGTGACTCTCCTTAGTGTGAACATGGATGTGGGGTAATAGGAACTCTTTTCCATTCAAAGTAAGAACGGATGGCAGTATGACCACTTTGGAAGACAATTTAGCAGCTTTGTGCAAAACTCAGCATACTATTTTTCTAAATCACTGCAATGTAAATTTATTTTCTGCTAAGCGAGAAATCAGGAACCAGATAGTTCAAGGTCGTTCAACAATACATTGACTTAACATTGGTCCCTCAAACGTGTTTCTGCCTTCAAAGTGACAGAGATCCCCCGTAGAGTTTCAAAGTGCTGCAGCCAGTCACAAGCTCAGTGTTTTTACTGTTTTAGAAGATAGCTTTCCCATTTTATTAAAAATATTTATTCTTTACAATAAATCCTGATTACAGTTTTCTCTCCCTCTCCTCCTCCCAGTTCCTCTGTACCTTACCTCCCTTCCAGATGCACTCCTTATCTGTTATTAGAAAACAGAGTTCTAGAGGTTCTAAATTAATAAAATGATGCTATATGATAGAAAAACTAACATATCGGAATAGGACAAACAAACAGAAGGAAAAGAGCCCAAGAAAAAGCACAAGAATCAGAGACCCTTTTGTTTACACACTCAGGAATCCCATACAAACACTAAACTGGAAGCTGTAATATGTAAACAAATAGCACTCGGCTGCCTTTTCCTCTGGGTTTTCCTGAATTCTGAGGAGAGGGATTTAATGGAGATATCCCATTTAGGGCTATGGCTCTAAGGTCTTCTATTCTCTGCTTAATGTCCAGTTGTGGGTCTCTGTGTTTGTTCCACAGGAGGAAGCTTCTCTGATGATAGCTGAATAAGGCTTTGGTCTATGAAAACTTGTGTTACTCTTAATCTTTGTGTACAGAAATAACATCCTTTTTATTTGCAAAGATGATGAATGATTCTGTCCACACAGAACCTGTACTGGAATGTAGTAGTTTTATTCATAATTGCTCCAATTTATAAACAACCAAGATGTCCTTCAGTGGGTGAATAGATTAATAATCTATAGTTCATCCAGGCAATGGAATACTTTTAATCTCTAAGAAGAAGTAAGCTACATACAGATCCATGAAAAGATAAGGAAGAATCTTACCAAGTATTACTAAGTGAGAGAAGACAGCTGGGAGAGTTCACCTGCTGAATAATTCCAACTGTATTAAATTCAGTAAAAGAAAAAAATGAGCAGACAGTAAAAATCAGCTATTACTAAGGGTTGCTAGGGGGAAATGAATAGCACAGCATAGCCAATTTGTGGGGCTGTTTGAACTTATTTTATATGTAAGTATAAAGATAGGTATATGTGTTTCTTCACTTGAAAATTATAGCAAGGTGTCTTTTTCTTTTTAATCATTCAAGTGATGTTTAAGAATGGAAAGAATGAAACATTCTAGTTGTCTTTCTTGTCTTTCCTTCCTTTATTTTTTCTTTTTCTTTTTCTTTTTTTTTTTGTCTTATGATCTGCTTTTTTCTGATGCCTCTTAGCATCTTTCCTCTGAACTGCTTGAAAGAGGAAGACCTCTGGGTGCTAATCCATCCATGTTGCCTTAGCTGCGTCACTTGATGCCCAGTTCAGCCTGCCTCTGCAGGGCTTAGATATTGTGAGAAGCAACTTTCTATCTATCTATGTTTCTTACTCTGAGACTTCTTAGTAGGAGACAAACTCAAATAACATGTCCTTTGAGGGCAGTGCCCCACATCTAACCATACCCATTTTCCAGGGTCTACATCTAATACTCCTAATGGAAGTATGGTGATAATAAGCCAGATGCAGATATTTCAACTTTTGCCAGACAATGTGGCTCCTTAGAGCAGATTACAATGAAGTCTGTGCAAAGAGGCATGTTAGAGACTTCCTCCCAAGAGGAAAAACAGTTTTCAGTCTGAGACTTACCCCATAAGTGGAGTCAAAATCCAGTTCTTATATCACCCTCAAAACATTCTATTTAATGCAGAGGCAGCTTATAGAATGAACTGACCAAAAAATCACCTCCAAGTGTCATTTGATAGTTTTCTTTTCTCTCTAGCCTCATTTGAGGGCTTCAAAGGGAAAAAATTTAAGTGTTTTTTATCCGTGTTATCTGATTTTCATTTTTAGACAAGGGCTTCATGTTATCCATCCTTGAACTCTGAGGTTCAAGATGACATAGAAGGTATTTTTCAAAGTTGTACTAACTCTAGGCTTGTTGTAGCTTGCCTATCTCTCTGATAGAAAATGAAAATTTTGTCATAAAATTTCTAAAAGATTTAGGTGGTTTGTAAAGATTTTCTATTTTGTCTTTTGCTTTTAATTATACTCTATTTCTCACCAGGCAGAATTTTGCTTGGCCTTGGAGTCAATTCTGAAAGATACTAATGAAAGGAAATCCCAACTGAAAACTTTACCTCAAGTCCATCCTATGCCAGCATCTGTTAAGGAACAGCAGGGTGTATGACTGAAGTTCCCTGTTATGGGGCATTTCTGGAGACTAATTGATCAAAATATCATTTGTTATTTATTGTTACTTGGTGTTTGCAGCTCCATGAAGCTTTGTGGCTGCCTTGGGTTGGGCATATGCAGGAATAATTAGTGGTGGTCTGTGGCTCATTCAAGGATGGGTCAAGCATCACAGATTTCTTCTTGTGTTAAGTTATTCACTGTGCAATGAGATTGTGAGAGTGACTTAGCTACACCTCTACCCTTGGAGTTGGCTTACACTGTTGTGCAACTTACATTTGAGAACACTGAGTACTTCTGTTCCTATTTTTGGCATGCAAATTTCTGAGTTTGGTTTAGAAGGTAGGAATCCAAGGTCATATGATGAAAAGAGGGCAGCAATGAGTATACTTATGTCATCGTTGAAGATCAGATACCTTGAAGCAGCCTGTCAGCTGATTTCTTAATGACTGAGAGATGTGAGGAACTGATGGAATTATTGATACATGGGCAAGGAATCTTGTATTTTTATGATACCTCTTCGGCATTTGGATATACAGTAGTTAGGAAAAACTAAAGCTGAACAGTTTTTACATTTATACAGTGTACAGTCTAGACAGGAATAACAAAGGAAACACATGATTCTGTACTTAAAAAACAATTTGGTAAAGATTACAATAGCAGAAGCTAGCATGTAGGTTATAATTAATATATTTCTTCAGAAGAGACATGAAGTTCCCAGTCACTTAGACTGAATACACTAGGTTGATATTCAGAAGTCTGGGGCTTCTTTTGGGGATGGAAAGGGAAATTTTGGTGCCATGAAACACTCAGTAATTGACTCCAGGAAGGAAGTAATAATGATCCTCCCACACTGTGTAGTTTGTTTTTGCAATGCAAGCTGACTGAATGTGAAGACGTTAATTGGACTATTCTAAGAACTACCATTGTTACAGGAGCTCTCGTCAAGATGAAGCTTACATGAAAACATTCCTTCCAAACCACCACAAAAACCTAGATAGTGAAAAATTTAAGAATTGCTGAAATACAAAGTGTGATTTCCTCCATTGTTGGTGTTTTGCATTTCACTCAGCTTTGGTAATGACACCAAATTGATTGGTTTCTTTTAGACTTTGTTTCTAATCAGTTTCACTTTTTATTTCTTTCTTTCTTTGTGATCTCATCCTAGTGAGAATTTTTACTTTTTAATTTTGGGGTAGGGTTTTGGAGGGTGGTAACATACTCCTGGCACTATCCATATACTCAAATCTACACCTTAAAAGCAAATGTTTAAGCACACATAAGTGTTTGCAAAAATTTGAATACTCTGTTAGAGGCAATTTAAATTTTAAATCACAAAATCTTGAACAATAAAAGTGAATAGAATTTTGTGGCAATGGGGTTTATTCTGAAATAGGAAAAGACAAGTTTTCTCAGTGCCTGGATATTTTCTATTGTGTACTGAATTTCACAGTCATGTTTAATTTTGTCCATACACTTTAATACAAATGGAGTTTCAGTCTTAAATTTTTCTCTGTTGGTGTCTGTTATGGCCCTGGTGATGTATATACTTAACGATCAAGACTTGGATGTAGCATACCTTTCTAATGAGTGTGAGGCAAGTTTGGTGTGAGATTGAAACTCGCCACCTAGGAGAAACCAGTAGTTGATTTTAGTAGGAACATGATGTCTTTGGCTATTAGATAATTCCTCTGTGCTATTAATTGATAGAACGAATGAATATCTGATAGGCACTTGATTACGTGTCCTGATAAAAGACTCACTTGAAATCTTTTGAGGAAAACAATCATAATTGAGTATAAAACACCAGAACCAGTATGTGTGCCGCATGCGTTTATTGATTTGGTATTTTCAGGTAGAAGGCTGGGATTGATGCCCCGGATAGGTGACAGAGCGAGGATTAAGCTGGCATTATTGGTGGCTTATCATGGGGCTGCAGGAGTTGACTCTCTTGCTTCCTCTCTTCTCAGGACTTTTCCTTGTGGCCATTCAACAGTTCATTAGCACATGGATGAGGAGTGTGCAGGCTGAGGAGGCCTCCCCAGCCCCACATTACTCCTGTCAGCAGTTCTGGTAAAAGGAGGTGTGGGGGACGAGATTGAAACTAATGGCTACAGTGAGGCTGGGGGATTACCCGTGGTTTTCATTAGCTCTTTCACTTGTTAGCAAGTGAAGCCAGAGCAGAACGCAGTATTATTTTCTTTATTTACCTGAATTGCAGCTTGCTGAGTCCGAGATAAAACTCCTGGCTTGCTATTATTTATGCTTCACCAATAACTGGAACCTAAGGGAAACTAAATACAGTCAATAAGCATAACTTAGTTCTGTAAAGCTAGTGATGTTTCTCTGCACACACACACATATGGGTAGGTTTTTCCTACACACACACACACACACACACACACACACACACACACACACACACCTTATAATCAATTCCTTTCAAAGACTATGATTTCACGTGGGATTTTTCTCAGTTCTTTTATTTTGAACACAAATGATTATTTGTGGAAGACACATTAGTCTGAAATAGACTCAATCAATTGGATAATCAAAGGGGGACAAAGAAATTTAACACAGACTTAGCAAGGATTTCATGAAACATGACCTTAAAATTGCAAGTCTTTGATCTTATTAAATAAACATAACCATTCAGTAAAAATAATCAGCTTCACTGTGATGTGAATGAGTGCTTTGGGTAAAATAATGTGTCAGCATTATATGTGCATTGAAGTTGGGCTATGTTCTTAACAGCTCAGACTGACAGAACTGGAGAAAGCTCATCAAAAAGCTGTGTGAATGACTCAATGGCTCTATTAATGGAATTATTTCTTAAACATGTAACGGATCTGAGCATGGTGGTACATGCTTATATTCCCAGCCTGGGAGCCTGAGGCAGGAGCATACTCCGTTTGAGGTCAACCTGGGAATACAATGAGACTCTGTCTTAAGAAAAAGAAATAATAAAATTAGGGAAATTCCACAAGCTTCTAAAGTAACATATTTAGTACAGGAAGATTTCACTTGAAAGTGTAACTAGATCAATGAATAGGTATTGAAAATTTTAATCTGTGTTCCTAGAAACTTCATAGATGCATTTAACTTAGTAAAAGTAATTTGGGGAATTCTCCTTAGAAACATAAAGGATAATCTTACATTTGAGGATCTTCTTATATGATAGCAGTATTAGTTTCATAAAACATTGTTAACTTTGATTGTACTAACAATTGTAACTGCCTTTATCTCCACCATTGTGGAGGGCAGTATCGCTTTAACCAACTCCAAAAGGGAAATAGAATTTTATAAATTCATCACAAGCATATGACATATTAATCATGTATGGGTCATTTTTGTGAAACGATACATGTAATTAATGGGAAATTAGATAGCACACATCTATAATATTCATATACATACATTTATCACTGAGGCAGACTGAGGTTGGTAAGTTCTTAAAATGACACATAGTCCTTGAAGGTGTGTCTACTGAACACTGACTCTGACTGAAACAAAATCACTGCCAATTTCATGTTGGGATTTGTGGTGACAAGTTTCATTCATAGAATGTAATGATGGTGCTGGTTATTTTTCAAATCAATTTTCAAATTTTTAAAATTAGAGTTAGCAACTGATTGTTAAATAAGGGCTGGGGTGGCACAGTTTGTAAATGCAGCAGCAGTTTTTGTCTTTTCTTTTTTGGTGCCACACTGATGTGTCCTTGGCACTCAAATGAAATTTACTTTTGTCTCATGTGTACTGAGCCATAGAGGTTGGGTGTTAGAGTGATTCATCAGGTCTAGCTGATGAGTAGAACCTCCTTTGTCTGTTTCTTTCAGTCATATATAAACACTGGTGCACTCTCCTCCTTTTGAAATCTGTGCTCTGAGAAAATGTTTCCCTTTCAGTTAGGTGGCCCTGGTGTTCATTTCCTATGGGCAAACTTCTGGGCTTTTCCTGGATGATCTATGAGAACCTGCCATCTGCAGGAACTATGTGCCTCAAACCAGGTTCCAGGTCTCTGGTTGAGGTCTCCTTAGGACTCCCTTTCAGAAACCAAAGCATAGTCCACAACTCTAGCACATGTCAAGTGACATCTTTCCTGGAAATGGCAAGTCTTAGATCCAATGCAGACTTCACTGGTGAAAACCAACATGTTGGCAGAGCTTTGTTTCTCAGCAGGCAGAAACTCTCAGGGAACACCCCTTCCCTTGTTTCTCCAGCTGCTCCAGGCTGTCCATCTTTCTTGACTCACAGATCCTTTCTTTATCTTTAAAGCCAGCCACATCTCACCATGCTATCCTCCTATCACCACAAGGACAGATTCTATGTTTAAGGACTGATGTGATTAGACTGAGCTTATGTGAATGATTCCCGGGTAATCTCCCTAGCTCAGTGTGTGATCTTAATCACTTCTACAGTGCCTTATTTGTTATGTAAGAGAACAAATTCATGGATTCTGAGAATTAGGATATGGACATAATTGAGGGGTCACTATTTTATCTTGTTAATGTAGTATGCACAGTCCCCTTTTGCATAGTCAGGGGACTTTATCTTAAAATATATAGCAAATCCATCTATTCTTTATTATTTCTACATGTAAGAAGCTGAAAACAGACTACATAGAACTATGATTCTTGGAAGAAGGAAGATAGAAACTCCATATTCTCATGACATTCTCACTGAGGGGGAACCTTTGTAGTGGTAATGGATAAAGGATAGCGTAGTATCAGTCCAGGTAATGCCAAAGTGAAGATCAAAATTGGGATGATGAGGGGTTAGATTTTAAAGGAAAAGGTGTTGGAGAGATGGCAGTTGTGTGATAGGAAGGTGCATATATTAACCCTGGAAAGAGTTTTGAGTTATTTCTCAACATCCAGGTTGAGTATAGCCTGGACAGAACTTTGATGTCTGAGGGAGATGGCTTCTCTGGGGCTGAGAAGTGAACAAAGCTATCAGACATCACACAGATTTGGGATATGGTGAATTTCTGGTCTTCTAATAGGTAAACAGAATCCTGCTGAGTAAACTAGGCATTGGATGGAGTTGTAGAAAGGGTATAATGTCATGATGAGTGAATTTTAGGGGAAAAAACACATCCTGAGACTAAAGAAAACAAAAAGATAAATCCTTACTAAACATAAAGATTTGAAAAAAATGATCTCTCAATGACTTAATTGCTTCACTAAATGGGAAAATATGAAAATATAATTGATTCTTCCTACAACATAGTAGCATACTGGTAGACCTGCATAGAATTAAGAAAGTATCACTAATGGCCAGTAAGAGTCTGAAGAGATGCAGATGTTATAATTAGCAGACAATTCCTTCTAAGTGACTACTAAAAGTATGTTCAAAGATGCAAAGTAAATTAAAGCATGTTGAGGAAATAGATGCACATTCTGAGCAGAGAAATCTCATCTATGAAACATAATCATGTGAAAAGAACTAAAGTTGATAATGTTGGAAATGAGATGCCCACACAGACAACAGAGTTGATGCTATAGAAAAATATGACCAGAGAATGCTGATAAGACCCTTTGCCATCATCTCAGAATGAAAATACAGTGAAAGATAAATTAGCTAAGGCTCTGTGACATGTGAGACAATATTTAATGGCTTAAGTTAGTATTTGCAGAAGTCCTATGAAGAGGCTAAAACAGGCAATGTAGTCAAAGAAATAATGACTATGAAATCCACAACTTGGGGAAAACATATTTTTAAAAAATCAGTGAGCATTGAAAAATCATATACCAACAAAACCCAAGTACATCACAGCTAAGAAAGAAGCAAAACCAAGCCCTTCCTCAAAAATCTAAAATAAAAAGGCTGTCAAAATAGATATCTGAGAGAAGGGAACATTACACTCAGGGAAATGACAATACACAAATAGTGTCTGAACTGTTATCAGAAAATATGTAAGTTATAAAAACAAAACACTAAATCTGTCCTCAGGTATTTTTTGATTAAAAGAAACAGAAAGCATTCTTTGTCAGAAGATTGGAAGTAAAAGATGCCACACAATTCTTCAGAAATGATACTAAATAGAAAATCAGATTTATAGAAAGGGATGAAAGTAACTGGTCATGGTAAATATCCGAGCAATTATTTAAAAGAAACAAAACAAAACAAAAACCAACCAAAACCTTATTCTCCTTTCAGCATTTTTAAAAGGGTAAACTGATTAATAAAACTTACTTCCTTTTATTTTAAAGTTCAAAGTAAAATAAAAACAACACTTTCTTTAGTGAGGTCATATCTCCAATAAGCAATGGATCAATGCAATTCTATAAATTTCCCAAACTTTATATGAAGTGAAGCAATTCATTCTAAGCAGTATGTGATAAGTGTGTCTACATGATCTTGAATATTAGTTCTGAGAAACTGATATATAAAATGTAGAGGAAAGTCTATGTAGGCAATAAAATGTAATACTGAGAAATATTTGATATCAAAGATATCAAGAAAAACAAAATTGGTGAGGAATAGATAGAAAAGGTGTCAACAATGCAGTTCATTTAAAGTTCATTACATGCTGGATCGGGGAAGAGGGCTGGATGATTTAAGAATGCTTACTCCTCTTATGAAGCGCCTGGTTCAGCTCCCAGCACCCACATTGGGAAGCTTACCACTGCATGTAATTTCAGTTCCCAGGGATCTGGTGCCCTCTTCTGGCCTTCATGGGCATCTGCACATGTGCTGGACACACAAACTCATGAAGGCATGCTCACACACATTAAAAACTAATCTTTAAACTTAACCCCACCTTTATTCATGCTAACAGTCTCAATAATTCTATAAAAATTAAGTCTTTCTGGTTCAATAAAGCAGGACTGAACTTACTTAAATCAATACGTTTTAGTATAAAGATATGAACATTTGACAGATAAGATGTAGAAAGTATATTTCACAAAAATAAGCTCAAGGAATCTGATGTGTGTGTATATAGGTGTGTAGGTAACTTGTAGTTTTAAGAGATTGGGATTGCCATGGTGGGAATTGTAAAGGAAGAAGGTAAATTTACATACATCTGATATTGTGAGGTTGCTTGAGTCAAAGTATTGAACCTTATCCTCCAGGAAATCCAGGAAACAGGCAGCAATTTTCTTAAACTGGAATTACCAATATATCATTTGTTTCATTATTTTGTACTGAATATGTAAAAGAACATTTAAATGGTATAAATTAGTTTGAACAAATTAGGATATTATTCTATTGGTATGGATTAGAGCTGTTAAATAAGTAGATATATATTGCAATGTAGTAAAAAATTGATTCATTAAAGAAATAAGTCAAG